CATTGTCTCTCGTGTATATATAAATGAACATGACAATGAACACACATGTGCCCATCTCAGCCTCAGGGCTTTCTCTGTCTCAATGAAAGAACATGTGCTCGCTCACCTTTGTGTGGTCTTTAGAAAGTTTTTGAACTTTTTCTTACCATTATTGGACCATTCCTAATAACTTCTATCACCCAAAATTGAGAATACAACATTCATTATGTTAACATGTGTCTTCTCAATAGGAGAATAATTTTTTTTTTCTACTTAAAATTAGTTACATTCTTTTCTAGTCAAACTCAAAACAATTGTTACATACTTTGAGTATTTTTTAACCTTTTATTTTTTTATTTTTAATTTAAAAATCAAATTATTACATCAAGATCCAAAAGTACATAAGAGATACGTCCAAAACATAAGTATGTTTCATCGTGTTCTGTTTTTTTTTTTTTTCTTCTTACTTAAACAAATTACAATTATACGGATACAAACTCAATCTCTATCCACAAACCTCTGATCAAAGTCTCTTTAGATCAATTCATGGGATTTCAATGGCGAATTCTCTTCTTCTCCTTTTGATCCTTCTCCGATCACCAATCACAGGCCTCCACCTTCTTCTCGTCTTCCTTCACTCTCTTTTATAACTCTAAGCTCCCCTCTTCACTCCAAATTCACAGATCTAGCTAATCTCTAATGGCGTCAGTGTTCTTGTATCACGTTGTTGGAGATCTAACAGTAGGAAAGCCAGAGATGGTTGAGTTCTACGAAACAGAGACGGTGGAATCTGCCATCAGAGCTATTGGAGAGTCGACGGAGTGTGGTATTCCGGTTTGGAGGAAGAGATCGTCGCCGTCGTCGCTTCCTGGTTTTGTTGAGAATAGTGAGATGAGACAACAAAGATTCGTTGGGATTTTGAATTCTTTAGACATCGTTGCGTTTTTGGCTAAGAGTGAGTGTTTGCAAGAAGAGAAAGCTATGAAGATTCCTGTCTCTGAAGTTGTTTCTCCTGACAATACTCTTCTTAAACAAGTTGATCCTGGCACAAGGTACACTTTAAAGGACTTGACTTTGAGTTAATGTCACACTATTCTTTGTCTTTAAGCTCGAGTTATTGTCATAAAGGATCTGAATTTGAGTTACTGTTACTTGATTTGAGTTCTGTTTTGGTGTGTCTGAGACTTGTTTGGTTTGAGTTTTACTTGCATAGATGTAGGATCTTAACTTTAGTAAAAAGGGTCATAAGCTTAAAGTAAGGTACACTATAAAGGACTTGACTTTGAGGTTATGCCACACTATTTATGTTATAAAGGACCTGACTTTGAGTTTTAGTTGCAGACATGTAGGATCTTAACTTTAGTAAAAGGGTTCATAAGCTTAAGCTTAAAGTAAGTTACACTATAAAGGACTTGACTTTGAGTTAATGTCACATTATTCTTTGTCTTAAGCTCGATTTATGCTATAAAGGATCTGACTTTGAATTACTGTTTACTTGGTATGATTCTGTTTGGTGTATCTGAGACTAGTTTGGTTTGAGTTTTAGTTGCATATATGTAGGATCTTAACTTTAGTCAAAATGGTCTGACTTTGAGTAACTGTTACTTGGTTTGATTCTGTTTGGTGTGTCTGAGACTAGTTTGGTTTGATTTTAGTTGCATACAAGTAGGATCTTAACTTTAGTAAAAAGGGTCTGACTTTGAGTTACTGTTACTTGGTTTGAGTTTTGTTTGGTGTGTCTGAGACTAGTTTGGTTTGAGTTTTAGTTGCATACATGTAGGATCTTAACTTTAGTAAAAAGGGTCATAGCTTAAAGTAAGGTGGCAATAAGATTCTAGTGTTTTGAGTCTAGTTTCTAAGGATTTAGTTCAATTCAAAGTTGATCGCTTCACCAAGTAAGGCTTGAGCAAAGGGTACTTGAACTGAACTTTATCGATGACAGTTAAATAAAAATTGAGTTGGTTTCTTGCCTTTCCTTCATAACTTAATTAAGATTTTGGTTTTTTGTTTTAAGGTTTATTTGGTGTAGTGATAATTGACTGACTGAATCTTAGATCCGTGATTTCATTTATTCCTCTGAACATGATTGGATCTAATCAGAAGAGAGTATATGTGCAATATAGATATATAGGCCATGTGCTTGATCTTTTTATTCTTGTTATTTTATTGATTTGATTATATAAAATAGTAAGGTACTTACTATATTACCTTGGGTTTCCAAATTTGTCAACCTTGGTTAGTCAAATGAAGTATGCAATGTTTTTAGTGCCTTGTTTTCTTGTGGTCAGTGTGTAGAGGAAAATGTTGCAAACATATGGGGAAACTCAAATACTTAAAAAGAGAATAGTTTAAAGTGTACCAATCTCTTTTTTGACTTTCTGTTTTGTTTTGTTTCCCTCAGCTTCTACTTTGCTGAGACCTCTTCTTTTATGTCTGCAACTAACTTTGTAGTTGACTATGATATAAACGTTATGTCATTCTAAGTAATACAAAAACAGGACATGACATGTTTTAACTGGATTTTTGTCTTAGATTATTCATAATTTAGTTTGGATTGTGGATTGCATAAGAGTAGAAGAGAAGGATACAGTTTGACTTCAGAATTTGTGCAAAGGCAAATGTCTCCTATGGAGTTGATGGCATTCGTTGTAATTATATGCCTCTTTGTTCAAATAGGATCTGCCACATTTCTTGAGCATCCAGAAAATTTTTGGTTTGTCCATTAAAATGTTTTCTTGTCCAAAAATTATTGATCAAATGATTCAAATTGTTGCAGTGAATTCGATGTTTCTGTTCATGGAGTTACCTTCCTTGGTTAGTAGAAGTTTTTTTTTCTATGATGATGATTTGGTTGTATTAAATGTAATGCAAGGTTGATAGATGCTTTGGAGATGATGAAACAAGGAGTAAGACGACTTCTGGTTCCAAAAAGCGTTGTTTGGAGAGGTATGAGCAAGAGATTCTCCATTCTTTACAACGGGAAATGGCTGAAGAACAATGAAAACTCTAGCAGTAGCAGTGGTCTCGCTGCTGACTCCAACAGGCCTACTAAGTCCATGACTTCAAGCCGGGACAAGTTTTGCTGTCTCTCAAGGGAAGACGTGATCCGCTTCCTTATAGGTGTCCTTGGAGCATTAGCTCCTTTGCCACTCACATCAATCTCTACTCTTGGAATCATCAATCTGAACTATAACTTCATTGAAGCCTCTCTTCCAGCCATCGAAGCCACCCGAAGACCACAGTGTGACCCTAGTGCGATTGCGGTGTTGGAACAAACTGAAAACGAACAACAGTTCAAGATAATAGGAGAAATATCAGCTTCAAAGCTCTGGAAATGTGATTATCTAGCTGCAGCTTGGGCTCTAGCTAATCTCTATGCTGGACAGTTTGTGATGGGAGTTGAGGACAACATGTCATCAAGATCGTTCAGCGACTTCCTCCAAACTTCATTCCCGGGAGGTGAACAGAACGGAACAGCAACAAAAGCCAAGAAATTCAGTAGCAGGAGCATTGGTTTTAATCCAACAAGCCCGACAAGATTAAGCATCGGTAGGAGCATGTACAGGGGAAGAAGTGCGCCGTTAACTTGCAAAACATCGAGCTCGTTAGCTGCTGTAATGGCTCAAATGCTGTCTCACAGAGCCACACATGTTTGGGTTACAGAGGCTGATTCAGATGATGTCCTTGTTGGAGTTGTGGGATATGGAGAAATCTTGACTGCTGTAACAAAACAGCCTTCTGCTTTCGTTCCTTCGAATCGGTCTTATGAAGCTTTTGGTAATGATACTCAAAGCTAAGACTACAATCATCTTTTGTTTTTTTTCTTCAAAAAACAGTCAAAATTGTTACTCATTCATTACAATGTGAAGCTGTGAACTCTCGTTCATCTCCTCCGCAATGCGAGGATTATTGTATCAAACTAAAGTTATATATATTTTGGATTTCGAATACATTTATAGTTCTGTACTGTACTGAACTATAATTAGGAAGATCCAATATATCAAACTTATATGGCCATTAAATCCTACTGGAGTAGCTGCATCTGCAACAATCAGAGGTAAAGATGAACAAGACTCGCCATACTTAGTCAGGATCTCATTGAGATACTTATCAATAAAAGAACTCAAATCTCGCAAATCTTGTTTATCAAGAAGATACACATCCATCTCTTCTTTGAGACAACCAAACATAAACTCTCGAATCTGTAAATTTTGGTTCTCATCACATAGCTTATGCAATTGCTGTTTTTCTTTGGCGATCCTTTGACGTAGAAAAGCCTTTTGATCTACAATGGACTGTAGGAGCGCAAAAATCGAATTGAGAAAAGATACCTTATAGGGTTATATACCACAACAAGTTGATTTTGTTTCTTATTAACTTTTTATGTAAGATGAGAGCCTAGTCGATCCAACCTCGTGTGTTCATCTACATCTACTAGTGGTATATAATATGGTAACTTGATTTGGTAAGATTAGAAATAGACAAAGAGTTTCCGACCAATCTGAAGTTAGAGCTCAATCTGAAAAAGACTGACCAGACACAGACAGTGTAAGCGTATAGGTTACTTTTGAGTTTTGAGTTAATCAGTGTTCCTTAATTGTGACAAAAGAAAAGATACTGTTCTCCGACAGTTTAATTACCAATAGACTTGGTGTACTGTTCACATAATTAATATCTTAAACTTTTGAGTTTGTTTATATTTACGACATCAATTTAGAGTTAACTTAAACATGACTTGTGAAGTAAATATAAATGCAAAATTGTTCAAATTTAATAAAAGCCAATCAATCACGGAGAAGCTGCGGTCAACCAAAGACAACTTTATGATATCCCATGTGTGAATTAACAATAATCAAAACAATTAGTAATTAAATTTTACAGATCTTGCAGATTATAATTATACTTAAACAAAAGACAGAGACTTAGGAACAAACATTTGATTTAAAACATCTCTTACAAATAATAAATAACAGTGTCTTCTTTGCACTGTCAATAAAATAAACACATCTGCACTTAAAAGATGAATAATTGTTTTTACTCTTTTGTTCTCTCTATTATAAAAAACTTAAACAAGCACTTAAAGATCTTGATAAGATCAGAACAAATCACTCATTACAAAGACTTAATAACCTTTAACAGCTTCACTATCACTACCATCACCATCATCACCATCAACACCATCATCATCATCATATTAAATTTGCCAGCTTAACTTTCTTAAAACCACATAAGATTGGACTAAAACAAGAGAATGAGAAAAATAAAAGAAAGACAGATAAGAGAATTGATTGAAGAGAGAAGACAAATCTAATCTTGGTTGAAGTGTGAACAAGATTCTCTATAAAAAAAAAAAACAACCCTAAAAAAAATTATGAAAAATAGCAATGCAATAAGACAATTTAATTAATGAGGATGATGATGTTGTTGAGATAGTAGGTAATGAAAATTTAATGAAGACTAGAAAAATAAAAATTATAGACACAAAAAGAACCAAACCAAGAAACACATATCTTCTTCTTCTTCTTTCTCTTTCACACTTCTTGATGAATCAAGATTCAGATTTCATCTCTCTTTCCCTGGATTTGACAAATCAGAAACCAAAACATCATCAAAACACAAGGAAGTGGTATGAGAGAAGATACCAAAAGAACAGAGAAGGAAGGAAGAAAATTAGAAACTTACAAAGAGATCTCAGATATGGCAACCAAAGCAATTGCAAGTTTTAGGAGTGAAAGAGCAATAACCAAAAGGTCTATTAGGGATGTTACAGTTAATTGCATAACAACAAGGTGAAGGCAAGCAAAGACCTTTAGCACCACCACAACAAGTACAAACTGAACATATCTGAAAACTCCCTAGCTTCCTTCTTGTTTCATTCATTACCATAAACTTCTCTTCCATCAATGGTACCATCATCATCTCTCCTTCAGATGATGATTGTGACACCTCATTTGCCTAACCAGGGAAAAATTCTAATCAGAAACCCAGAAAAGCTAAGACTTTGAATTTAACTTTAGGTTAATAAAGGTTTGATTTTTCGACGAATTTAGAGATACCCAGATGGTAAAGTTTAGAACTTTATGAGAGATCTAAAGCAGAGAGGTCGAAATTGGGAAGAAGGGTTCAAGAAGAGAACTCACCTGGTGACTTGAACTGATGAAGATTGAGAAGAGAAGAAGCAACAACACAAGAGAGATCTTTGATTCTTCTAAAGCTCTCATTTTTGTTTGCTCTTTGGTTGTGACTTGTGAGGGTTTATGTGGTTAGGGATTTTGGGTAAAGTAGCAAATGCTACTTCTTCTTCTGCTTCTTCTTCTCTACTACTACTCTTGAGTCTGAGCTACTTTTTTCAATTATTTTGGTTGTAACATTTATTGTGTTTTTGTATAGAGGAAATGTTTTGTTTTATTGAGAGAATAAGGTGGTGGGTACTTTATTTTACTATTCTTTATTACCACACAACAATATCGGAATCAAAAATGATACAAAACCATACCAATGGTAATAAAACAGCTTTGAAGGATCTGATTCTTTTGGTGACATCCCAAAGATATTTTTTTAGTAAAGTTGAGTTTAGTGTTTTAGAATAGTGTAGTGAAGAAAGATACCATTACATTACACAATTACAAAGCTTATTTGGTTGATTGGTTCAATGACAAGGATTAAGGATTGTGTGTGGTACATGTAGTAGTATAAAGTCTTTGAGTTCACATTTGCATATAGATACAAGTTTGTTAGACATTGCTAATGTTTGTTGTAATATAGGACATCTGATGGATCTAAAGCCCATTTTTACTTAGCCATATAGAATTTATAACAAACTACAAAGAACACAATTGAACCAAGGGTTAGTGCTTATGATGACAATTCACCTAGCCAATCTGTTGATCTAGCATTCTAGCTGGCAACGAGACGACGAAAGAACGCGAGGGAGATCGGAAACATAGGAGCGAAAAAGAACGAGATAAGTTTTCCCGATTGTTGCCTACATAAACCTCTTTGATGGGAGTTTTATACTAGACTTGGGCAAAAAAACCGGAACCAAAAACCAGAATAGGAACCAACCCAAAAAATCGATCCGAACTTAAACCCGAAATGCTAGTGTCTTTTTGATAAATGAAGCTATACATTTATCTGAATCAGGTCTTTTTGATAAAAATGTCACAAACTGGTATAAAAAAACAAATCAACTAGCTAGAGTATCCTGCTCTGTGTTGTTTACGAAAAGGTTGTATAAATTGGGCTTGGCCTATATAATGACTGAGTTAATGGGCTAAAATTTAAGAAAAGCCCACTAAACAAATATAACGACGTCGTTAACGTATCTAAAAATAAGCAAATCTCTCTCTCCCTTCGTTCACAGATAGAGAAAGCTTTTTCTAGGGTTTGTTTCTTCATTTTCTCTCTCTTTGCAATACACAACAATGGCGGCGAGAGGTGCTTTGCTTCGATACCTTAGAGTCAACGTCTATCCAACAATTCAAAACCCTAGAGAATGTGTACTCCCTTTCTCCGTTCTTCTCCGCCGTTTCTCCGAGGAAGTAAGAGGCTCTTTCCTTGACAAATCTGAGGTCACAGATCGTGTTCTCTCCGTCGTCAAAAACTTCCAAAAAGTCGATCCTTCTAAGGTATATTCTCCTCCGATCTGAACCCATTTCTAACTTTTCGTTTTCGATTGTGTTTTGAGATTGAATTGGTTTGATTCGTAGTGATTCTGGTGATTTTCACTTGTTTGAGTTTGATCAGTGTGACCTTAGAAATGAAAGCTTATCGATACGATTTGATGTATATAAGCTTTGATATACAGATTATTCGATAGTATTCACTAACTTAAGTGTAGAGAGAGCTCAGGATTCTGTATTTTACTTTTACTTGCAAGAACAAAGGAGAAAGTTTTTGCCTTTCTTTTAACTCTTTTGGGTGATTGTTTCATTGAGTATGTGTCTATTGAGTATCTCCATTGCATCAATTTGGGAACTTTTGGTCCTACTTGTGTGATTACTGCTCTGTGTATGTAATTTTTTGAGTATCTTCATTGCATCGATTTGGGAACTTTTGGTCATACTTGTGTGATTGATACATTGTGTATGTATTTTGTTGAGTATCTTCATTGTAACAATTTGGGAACTTTTACTCATACTTGTGTGATTGATGCATTGTGTATGTATTTTTTTGAGTGTCTTCATTGCAACAATTTGGGAACTTTTGCTCATACTTGTGTAATTGATGCATTATAAATTTATTTCTTTGAGTATCTTCATTGCAACATTTTGGATAGTTTTGCTTGTGTTGATCTCTGCTTCTTCTTTTGTGGCTTACGGAGATTTGTCGATTTCGTTTTTTACATTTAGTAGCAAATGCATGTTTTTGCCTATTTGCCTATTTCCTTTTTTACATTTAGGAAGATTTTTCTACTTCTTCTTTTTTGCTTGTGTTGATCTCTACATGCGCTCCTTGTTCTCTTATACTTCTGTGAACACTTTGTTTATCTCCATGCCATGTTCTAGTGTTTCTAGCTAATGAAAAACTGCATTTGACTGGTCTGGTAGTAGTGATAGCTTCTATCTTCTATCTCAGTTATCTTTAATTAGGTTGAGATTTTCAAAAGTCCTCCAGCATCAGGATCTTGTATAAGAGGAGTTGAGTTTTCAATCTTGTATGTGTAGTATCTTGAAGTTGTTTTAAAAGTTTAGTTGAGAGAGCATTTGTGCATTCTTTTACTGTAGGCTTTGTGTTTTTGGGTGTTAATTTAGTGCTTCTTAGCTCTCTCAGTCAGCAGCTAAACTCGAAACAGTAACTTAGAGACTCTATCTGAACTAGTCAGTTGTTCTGAGGCTCCAATTTTAGTGCTCTCCAATCTGCTATGACATGCAACAAGGTTTGAACTATTTACTAATTCGTTCGTACTGTCGTTGCAGGTTTCACCAAAAGCCCATTTCCAAAGCGACCTCGGGTTAGACAGCTTGGACACGGTGGAAGTTGTGATGGCATTGGAGGAGGAATTTGGGTTTGAGATCCCTGATAATGAAGCAGACAAGATCCATTCCATCGATCTAGCCGTTGACTTTATTGCATCTCATCCTCAAGCTAAGTGAAAAAGAGAAACAAATCCTTCTGCGTTCATGCCATGCCTCAGATTTGGTTAAGCCTAATAAGAAAGTAAAGAAGCAAACAACATTTTCTTTTTGTCATGAGAATGGAGAAGCTTTTGTTTTTTTGGCTCTACAAACTACTATTGGTTTCATAAGTATTAGATGTGTTTCTGCATGATTTACGATGGCGATCAAGGAACTTTGTTTTTCTTATTAGATATATCCATCACACACTCGTTGCATTATATAAACGATCCCTCCAAGTATTGCAAGCTTGTCTCTCATAAAAAAATATTTTTCTATTTTAGCATTCAAATAAATTGAATATATATATATATGGTTCGACGTCCTATTTCCCCTTCGAAATAACCGCATTGTATCAGATGGAGCTAGAACTTTGATCCCGTCTCAGATGTAACTGAAAAATAGTTCTAGACTTGGATGTCCCCAAATCAAAAGGGCGAGAGATGAGAAGTGTAAAGAAAAAGAAAAAGAGAGAGATCATTTGAGAGAGGAGAAATTGATTTGGTTTGGTTTTAAATCCGGTTTGCTGTTGTAATTGATTTTAATTTGGTTTGCTGTTGTAATTGGTTTAAATCTGGTATAATATTTTATTTAGGTGGTTAATGAATATTTGGTAAGCTGTAAACTGATGATTATGGGTAATTGGATGAGAACTATTATACTCGGGAATATATATAAATATAACTTTCGATTCGGGGATATCTTAGTCTAATGAAACACATTCAAGCATTAACCAACACAAGTATCAAACAATCCATGAACGATCAATATAAAACCCAATATGACGAGTAGTGTCGATCGACACTCGCCACTGGTGTCGATCGACACCGAAGCCCTAACTTCGCTCCAGTCGCTTCTCATCGAGGGATCTCCCCTTCCTTGCACTCCACGGCCGAAATAACACTTCCTGAGGCTCGTCCAAAGTCACCAAATCATAGAAAACAAACATACAAGTAAAGAAATCAATCATCAATCAAAGGAAACACCAAAACATACATAAAAACTGCTTAGATAAGCCTTAGTCCTGCACTCACCTCTTAAACAAAAAGGAACAGCAAAAAAACAGGGGATGACATGGACAAAATCAAGCTCTCCTAACACCACACACCACATATCTAACCTCCTCTAGCCTTGAACCACCAAGAACAAGCTTCAACCTCTCCAAAAACTCACTCAAAGGATCAATTCTCACTCTCTTCTCTTCTCTCAAAACTCACAAAGCGAAAAATGAAGAAAAAAAAAAGAGAAGCGGTGCCCCTTAATCCTTTTAGTCAACCTAGGTTTCCCCTAAACCGATCCTCAATCGAACCGATGATTTAAAAATTAAACCGTCGAACCAAAAATTATTAGTATCGATCGACACCCTTCCTTGGTGTCGATCGTTACCACCTGGTTTTCCAGACACAGGTGTTATATTAACCGCTAACAACTGCAACCAAACGCTAACAATCGTTAGGTGGATGGTAGCAAGAAAATTAATCAACACCTTAGTATGATTGATTTGCATTTTCTGGAGATGTAGGGTAGAGTTGAAAAATTGAAGACTTAGCTTTGAAAGTTATTTGCACAAAACCCATAATTATATGTTGAATCACAAGAATTAAAATATAATGATGAGTATACTAAAAAAAAATGGAGGGGGTGTAAAAAAAAGGACAATTGTTCCCCAAAAACTCTCTCTTCTCTCTCCTCAAAGTTTTCTTCTTTTCTCTCCCAGATATGGTCTAAAGGCTTGTGTTCTTATCTCGATTTGCTGTGGGGATGAAGAGGTGAATCAGATCTCCTCCCTTCTCTCTCCTCCTTCGATGTGGATGTGAAGCCAGGATGATGGAAGGAGAGCGTTGCTGCAGATCTGGTCGGTTTGAAGACGCCGGTTAGGAGCAGTGGTCGCTCTCGTGGCTCATCTGTCAAATCGGCTTATCATCCACGGCGGAGGAGATGGTGGGTTGTCAAAGCGTTTTGGCGGTTAACGGTAGATCCGCCTGGATCTTGAAGGCCGTCGCGGATTTCAGGTGTTAGGGTTTCCGATTGAGCCATCGGTCCCTCTCGTCGCCGTGACTTGCTTCCGCCGACCGAAATGGAGAGTTCTGATTCGGCGAACTGGAAGAATGTCAGATCTGGGAAGAAGAGGATATGTCTGAAGCTAGAGCTTGCTAGGAACGGGAGCTACCAACAACATGCCAAGACGTCAGAGAGTTGTTCATACCGGGAGACTTGTGGCGGGTTGGTTGGTCAAGGGAAAAAACAGTGGTCGTGAGTCAGATGCCTTATCCCCGTTGACTAGATACTTCGATCTGCCACAATGTTGTGGCTCTCGCATCTGCCGGAGATGATGAACGGACTCTCTGCAACTCGGCGTCAATAGGACACGATTCTTTTTTCCGGTGACGATTACTGTTCCGGTTGGGCTCATGGCTTCTGTTCTCCTTTGTAGTTTCGTGTATCAAGCCATTAAGGGGCCCGTTAATAAAAAATGCCCGTTTAAAAAAACATGGAGGTAAGAGAGAGTTAAAAAAATGATTTCATAATTATATTATAAAAATTTATTTCGTTAAAACAATGCAGACTTAGAAAAGTAAACTAAATATTAATGAATATGTAAGACATAATCAAACATCTTGAGTAAAGAATGAAAATAGTTTTTAGCCTAATTTATTTTATTATGAGGTCAGAATATATACTTTTTGATATGCATCGACAAATTAATTTTATTATAGCCATCACAATTTTAGTATTTTACTAAACATAAGTAGTTATAAAAAAAAAATATTAGAAAATACAGAATCAAAAACTATATAAAAATGAATACAATGTAAGATATATTAAAGAAAACATATAATTAAACTCTTACAATGATATCATAATTGATTTTCCAACGCATGCAAGAAGACAAAAAAATATATGGTCAAGGAGGATGTCCAAAATATTATTTAGGATATACATAAAAACTTAATAGTTTTTAGGGTATGCTACAAAATGGGTCAATACACATAAAAAATCTCTTAAACCATTTTTTTAATGATAAAATATTCCAATTGTATCCCAATTTTATGTTTGCAAATTACTTTATCAAGTTTGGTTTTTAGGGTAACTCGTATGTATGTTTTTCACTCGTATGTAACGTTTTCAAGTTTCAATTTACGTACTTAACATAAACTTCGAGAAGTATTGTGCACAGAAGATAATTGCTGAACTAATCTATTGAGTGGAAATACTTAAAAAAAAATAAATGAGCTCTTTTGGTACATGTGAGTTAAAAAAATGATAATTTAAAAATATTTTTCATGTTGGGAGCATCTACTCATTTTTTTTTCTTTGCAATGATATATATAATTAATGTCTTTTTTGGTAGAAATTTCCCTTCATTTTTTACCGAATATAGCTAGAAATCAAATGTAAAATAAAGTTAAAAAGACATTTAAGAAAGAAGAAAGAACTTGAAATTTTTTTAAAAGTTTACATTTTTTCCTTTATATCAAGTTTATTAAATGTCAAGTCTAGAAATAACACTTCCAAGATGTTAAACTCCACAAGAGTTTCCTCCTGGACCACCATAATTGATAAAGAAATCAAGTAGTTTTACATTACCAGTTCTTAACCCATAACATTTTGGACTATCTAACAACTTCTGTGTAGAGAAAAAATCGATTCCACGTTGTTCATAGTTGATATCCATGACTTTGATGTTTGTAAAATGTGCTGACTCCCTACTATCTTTATTTGGAAATAAACTATTACCCATTGGAGGGCTTAAACCCTTGCGAGAAGCTTGAACTACACCTCCAACTCTAACCATATTTGCACCATTATCCATAAGGTTAAATAACTCTTTTGGCCAATATCCGATATTAATGTTAGGTACTTTTGGTATCAATTTTGTAAGCCACCAGTTTCCTGATTGTTTATCCTTTCCGAATGAGAGAGAAAAAAGTTTTAAATATACAATTAGATAATTTCAACTATGAAAACATGTGCTAATCAAATTCATTTTAATGATTTTTTTTTGGAAAAAGAGGTTAGTCATATAAATCGATCACTAATATCATTCACAGATAATTAATTTATGAGTAAAATCTTCTATGGCTTAGTGGTAATGACATGATAAGTAAAATATTGCATCCGTTCATTTTATAGCATATCTTAACTTTTAAAAAAATAATCCTAAAATATTACAGATTTTATATGTTTCTCTTCGATGTTTAGACACTTCATTGAAAACCAAACTAGAAACAATTCAACTGATAACACAGATTTAAAACAAAACAAAAAATTCATCCAAACATTATTAAAAAAAAGTAGAGAACATAAAAATAATAAAAAAATTCAAAAATACCTGATGGATAGAGTAATGCAATAAAACTTCCCATGGTTGGTCCAAGGGTTGTGCTATAGGTACCTCCCGTGATATTTGAACAAACCCAGGACATGCCGTATTGTAACATTCTTTTCCATCTTTACCCTATTAAAACCATATTTTACATATACAAGTTATTTAATTCAAGAGATATATATAATATATTTATATACCAAAATTAATATATTGCCTATCCACCTTCCAATATCCGTATGACCAATGTTTTGTGTCGCCAACTAGGCTTGGGTTTATCTGTAAAAAAAAATATTTATTATAATTTAAGACTCACTAAATTTTTATGAGTGGTTTCAAGAAACCAATTAATTAAATATAAATTTTACCATCCAACCCGCTTGGATAAAATTGACTTGGTTATTCGATCCGCTGCCTATATATATTTGACTATATGAGGCTTGATCTCTTTCGACCTTTAGGTTATGTAAACTAAACCAAGCTTCTACACCACGATATATATCTTCACGTGATCTAATTCCAGCAATCTACCAAAAGACAGTCATAATAACATATATATTAATATCTCAATTAAAAATGTAAAAAAGTTATTAGATCTAAGGAATTAAAAATATATTTAATGCTTACATGTGTTCCAGGACTATCACCTGATAGTGGATGGAAATATTTCTCAGTGAAAAGTTGTGTGTTGTTGATGTATTCTTTTGAAGTTTTCAATATAGGAACAGTTCCATCTGGACATCTCATTTTCGTCTTATATGTTTTGTTATTGAGAGTTTGATTCTTTAATTCAAGTCTTGAAACCGATGGTTTCATCTTTTCCAAAAACAAATAATATATTTAAACTCAATTATCACTTATATCATAGTAAAAATTGTGCATATGGGATGAATTACCTGGATTGTATGATCTTTGAGCAAGGGATGATCAAGTCCTGGTTGTTTATATATGTCAATGCAATCATATATTACCTTTTCACTTATCTGCTAATAACACATAACGATTAAGAAGAAAGACGAAGTTAAATTCAGTTTATAAAATACAGCATGCTATAAAAAATGATGATGTTAAACTGATTAAGTATATCAAATATTTTTGTATTGTTTTGAAGCTAACCTTGAAGGTTTTGAGAGGCACCATATTTTGATCTGAATGAATTAGGGTTGTTGAGAACAAAAGATGTAGAAACATCATAAGAAAAGTCATTCTAAATTTGGTAGACATTTTCTAAGTTCTTGCTTCTGGAAACCTTAATACTAAGTATAAATACTACAAGATGTAAAGAAGAAAAAAGTAAATATAAATGTTTGACTGAAATACTATGGAAAGGTTGTGATAGAAAGTTATAGAACTCATATGTTATATAAACAAAATAGGAGAGAAGTAGAAGATCATTAAATGGGAAATGATTGAACTTTGACCATAAACAAAATAAGGTATATGTACTAATAACATTATATCCCGAGAAAGTTTCGGAAAAAACTTTCATCTATTTTTTATTTGGCCGTTTAATATCCAAAACTTTAAAGAAAGCTTCTTTGGAAATTCCCGGAAGAAAACTTAGATGCTAAACCTTCAGCCATACCTTCAGCATCAAGTTTCACCTTCTGTCTCCCGGCAGTGAGGTCGTTCTCACGGTCCCATGGCTTCCACGGATGTTTTCCCACCCATTCGTCCTTCTCGGCTTTCTCTTTGGATGCAGACAACTTCGTCTTCTTCTTCAGACGGCTTGAAGAAGAAGAAGACTCTTCTCTGTGCTTCTCTACCAGAGACTTTGCTCTTTTCTCTTTGTTATACTTGTCCACAAGCTCAGCATCCATGCTTCTTTTCATATTTTCCCCTTCGTTTGAAGCAAGCGCACTCGCTTTGTTGTATGCCTCCAAGTAACTGCAACACCAGAGAGAACAATGATAAAGAACAAAACTATCCAGCTCACAATCGCTGCATTCAGTCCAAAGCTAATTATAGTAGACCTAAAGCTTAAATTTGAGCAGCTGAACTTCTTCTATTAAAATTAATGTGTGTTGCTTTTATGATTAAACAACCTCGTGAAATGTCATTAACAAGTGATAGCGAGAGGTTGAAAGTTTAGTGTGTTCTTACTTCATCTTTGCTCTTTCAGCTTTGTCCATAGGAGTATCAGTCCAGGCTGTAGTGTCTCCTCGTCCTTCTCTAGTATTTCTGCTAAACGTGGTTGACTGCTGCACGGCCACTCCAACCTGCGAAAGAATCCCAGATAAGATTTAAAATTTGAACCCTGACTAATAATTCAAAAGCGTTTTCAATCAATTAAGGATCTCTCACCTTTCTTTCAGGAGGCAGGGTGGTCATCCACTCATCTCTTGTTGGTACAGGTTTAACCTCTGTTGCAGCCAGGAGCTCTTCATCGCCATCCATTGATATGCCTGCAAACCGGAAAAAAATTCATTACTTTCAATCCCATAAAGGTAAAGAGATTAAGAAGCCTGCATAACACAGTGACCCATCATCACCTTGTGATCTTCTCCATTTTGCTGCTTCTTGCATTGAGCGTAATTCAGCCTGCAGAGCAAGTAAGTATACAGTGGCTTTGTAAGTCCACAACAAATTTATCAGATAGATTACATAGATCAATCTAGCAGAATTACAAACCTTAAATGCCTCTTGTTCCTCCTTAAGTTTAATCTTGTCATCCATTGCTTTTCTCTGTAAACCTTAATAAATTAGAGATATACAAAAAGGGCAATAAAAGAGATGAATATTAGGCGAATATAAGTAAATAGATGTTGGCTCGCCACATGACTCAGAAATTCTGAGAGCATATTTAAAAATAATCTGACAGTAGATGATCTATTAAATCACCTTTTCTGGATCTTGCAGTTCCTTAAAAGCTTTATTCAGCAGAACAAAAGCTTCCTGCGCTTGGGGGTGAGAGCATTTGTCTGGGTGAACAAGAAGAGACAGCTTCCAGTACCTACAGACCAAAATTGTCTATAGCAACTTAGCAATCATGTAAATTGTCTATATTACTTAAAATTGTGTAAAATGATAAAGTGTAGTTATTTAGTGACTATTAATCATGTTTCTTGATCCCAAAAGTGGAACAACATCCATACCTCTTCTTCATATTATCAGCAGCCATATTGTGATTTACTCCTAAAACATCGTATGGACTATCAGCGTCAGCTTCCATAATTCGTGTCACCTGCTTATGTGGAGTATGAGTTGCTACACTAGCGAATATAAACTTCAAAAACAAAGAATTGTATCTATAATGCCAGAAGGAAAATTTGAACCTCTTCAAATCGCTCGGCCTCGTTTGATGATGCAACTTCTGCAACAACAGCTGGTGGAGCAGGTCCAATAAAATATTCTGAATCTTCTTCTAGCTCAGCTTCTCTGAAGCATTTATATAAATGTTAACTAAATGGGTTATTCCATAAAAAACTAAAAAATGATAACCTTAAGAGCGGGTAACCAATTAAAAGGCACCTAAGTTCAGCTTGAGCTTCTGTTAGCTTTGCTGCTGCAGCAAGTAACTCAGCCGATGGCATTGCAGGTCCAATCACCCTGCAATTAAATAACGCCATCACGTTTCATCCTCTAGAGTCTAAACCAGTTTAAGATCTAATTGAATAACCAATTAATATCACGCACTAGCATGAACCTCAAAGAGAAAGTGTGAATCACCTTTTCTTTGGACCAGCAACATCATCTGCTGAATTCGATCCCAGACCGTTCTCATCTGCCAAAACCTTTTCAGTTTTCTTCAATGGGACAGACTCATCAAGGTTTATCTCAGCTTCTTCTTTTTCGCCTTTGATAAGATGTCCCACCATATCTAAAGAAGGGGAAGCACCTGGTGGTAATAAAAATACTCTATCCCCACGTTCCTTAAGCTTCAACGAAATAAACAGCTTCTTCAACCGTTTCTTTAAAGCGCTCTCGGAAATACCCTTTATATCAACTGCTTGCCCATCATCTATCATCTTCAAAAGCTACAAAACAGAACATAAACTCAAACTATCAAAAACAACAAAGACCTTGGACGCATAGCACTAGCAATTATTCAGATTCACCACAAATTCTACTGCTCATAACTAACAGCTACATGAAGAGGACATAGAAATCTAAATATCAGCACGCAGACGCAGAGTAGTAGCAATGCTTTCAGGTTCACCACAAATCCTACTAACTCATAAACCAAACCTATCTAGAGTAAAGAAGCATCACAATACCTGTTTCAAATCACTGCCAACATTAGGAAACTCCAGCAACATCTCTTTAACCACAGTTTCAGGCTCATCCTGTGAACTCTCTTCATCAGAGATAGGATCATCAGAACCAGACTCAGACTCATAATCACGCTTCTTACTCCTCCTCTTCTTCTTCATATCTCTCCTCTTTCTCTCCCTCCTCTCTATCTTCTTCCTCTTCTTCTCCTTCTCCTTCTCCTTCTCCCTCTTCCTCCGCTTCTCTCTCTCATAACTTCCTCCGTCACTTCTCCGCCGCTCCTTTTGCTTCTTCCGCCGCTTTCTAGAAGACAAATCAGACTCGTCGGAGCTGTATGACGAGAAAGACGACGACGAAGACGATGTTGCTGAAGATGGAGTATCGTCTTCTGAATCAACTTCTCTCTTCCTGTGCTTACCCATTTTGTTTTGAATCCCTAAATTCAGATTTTGAAACAGAGTTTGATTGCTTGAAGCATAAATCCCCAAATCACCAAATTGAAACGTGAAATTAAACTATTGACATGTTTGTTACCTCTTCTCTAGTCCTCCGGCGCCGTCGAGAACGAGAATTAAGTTTCCGGCGGAGTATTCCGTTCTAACCGTATCTTTGCTCGTCTTTAGGTCTCTGCTTGTGGAAGAACAAGATCGACACAAGAAACTGCGTCGTGTTGGGCTTTAGAAAATAATAAAAGTAATTTTAAAACCTGGTTATTTTATGATGACCTTCTAGGCGATGATCTGCATGCGGAGCTTCAGAATCAGGAGGCTCTCCTCCTTCCTTCCCGGCAAGTGGCTCCGGCTTCGACGATCAAGGCGATGACGACTGTGATCAAGAGTCAAATCGTCTCGGCTAATTCTCTGGCTGAAACGGGCCCTTCAACCTCTTCTCGGCCCAACAAGAAACCTTCCCCACGTGCTGCTGGGATGCAAAAGCGCTCCAATAAGAGCCCATCACTGAAGATTAATTACGCCTCGAGAAAAATCCAGCAGGCCAAAGGTGGTACACCCCGTAAGCGACACTCAACCAAATCCGGTTCTTCGAAACCGAGATCTTCGCGGAAGGCCTCGTCCGTTCCTCGAGCCAGTACTCTCACGTGTTCCACTCCAAAGTCGCTAGGTAACTTTGCTGATCTCGAGGGGCCTTTTGACCCCCCCGGAACAAACCCATGAAGATCCTCGCGTGGAATTGTCAAGGGGCGGGTGCAAAACTAACCAAGCGCCGACTGGAAGATTTGTGTCATAAATTCTCTCCAGGTTTTCTTTTTCTTTCGGAAACAAAAAACGATCGGTTGTTTTTAGAGGAACTTCAAGTTAAATTACGCTTTGATTGTCTCCACACTGTGGAACCCGCGGGTTATAGTGGTGGTTTAGCCCTCATGTATTCTAGTGATTTTCCGGTTCAAATCCTTTTTTCTAGTGACCGTGTCTTGGATATTGAAACCATTATTGATGGGAATCGTGTTTTCATATCCTTTGTGTATGGTGATCCGGTTGTCAAACACCGTGAAGAAGTATGGGAACGACTTACCCGTATTGGCATTAATCGCTCTGAACCTTGGTTTATGATTGGTGACTTTAATGAGATTTTGGGGAACCATGAGAAAATTGGAGGGAAAAAACGTTATGAATCCTCTTTTCTCCCATTTAGGACAATGATAGAAAATTGTGGTATGCTTGAATTTCCTTCTATAGGAAATCACCTCTCTTGGGCAGGCCGCCGTAAGTGCGGGCTCATTAGATCCCGCCTCGACCGTGGCCTTGGTAATGAAGAGTGGCACTCGATCTTTTCCCACACTAAAGTGGAGTACCTAAAAATGTGGGGATCCGATCATAGACCCTTAGTGGCTTATATCGGCAATAGTCCTCCCAAGTTCTCTAAACGTTTCATGTTTGATAAACGTTGGATAGGGAAGCCGGGTTTCAAAAAATCGATCCAAGACGGCTGGGCCTTCCCTATACGCGGTATAGGTGGTGTATTCCCACGAAAGATAAGGAACTGCCGAAGTTCGATATCAAAGTGGAGGAAGCTCCATGTTACCAACTCTCAAAAGGCTATTGAAGCTCTGCAAAATCAGATTGATGCTGCAAATGAGAATGAAAACATCTCCCCCGAAGCACTGCTTGACTTGAAGTGGAAACTCTGTGATGCCTTCCGGGAAGAGGAGTCTTATTGGCATTCGAAAAGTAGAGAAACTTGGCTCCAAGTTGGTGATAAGAATACCAAATTCTTCCATGCAACAACTAAACAAAGACGGGCGAAGAATCGAATTACTGGCCTCCTCGATATGGATAACCGATGGGTTGACAAAGAAGATAACATCGAATCCCTTGCGGTGAATTATTTCCGAGATCTCTTCTCCACGTCAGATCCTCGTGAGACCTCTGTAGCAATAAAAGACGTCCCCGTGATAATTACGGAGGAAATGAACCAGAGACTCACTTGCGACGTCTCCCCCGAGGAAGTTAAGAAAGCCCTATTTTCCCTTAACCCAGAAAAAACTCCAGGTCCTGACGGAATGACCGCTCTCTTTTACCAGAAATTCTGGGACATTATTGGATCGGATCTTGTTAAATTAGTCCAAGACTTTTTTGTTGTTGGCTCTTTTGACAAATCATTAAACGAAACAAATATCTGTCTAATCCCCAAAATTGATCGCCCTCGAACAATGATGGAGTTTAGACCTATCAGCTTGTGTAATGTAAGTTACAAAGTTATTTCTAAGGTTCTTAGCTTTAGGCTAAAGAAATTACTTCCGGACTTAATATCCGAGACCCAATCTGCCTTTGTGGCAGGTCGTCTGATAACAGACAACATTCTGATAGCTCAAGAAAACTTTCATGCTCTCCGAACAAATTCCTCTTGTCGGAAGAACTTTATGGCTATCAAAACAGACATGAGTAAAGCCTACGATAGGGTTGAATGGTCCTTCCTTGAGTCTCTGATGAAGAAAATGGGATTTGCCCAGAAATGGGTCGATCTCATAATCTTCTGTATTTCCTCTGTCACCTATAAGGTCTTAATAAATGGTTCTCCGTGTGGCCACATCCAACCTTCTAGAGGAATAAGACAAGGTGATCCGATCTCGCCTTTTCTTTTTATCCTGTGTACAGATGCTCTGGTGGCCCAACTAAAGGAAGCAGAATGGGCAGGGAGTATCCAAGGACTCCAGGTGGCTCGTGCCAGTCCATCGACCTCTCACCTACTTTTCGCAGATGATAGTCTCTTCTTTTGTCGAGCGACCCCGGAACAAGGTCAAACAATCTTGAATATCATCCGCTGTTATGGCGAGGCCTCGGGGCAAAAATTAATGAGGCAAAATCATCCATCATGTTTGGGCATGAGATTGACACTGTCACCCGCAACAATATCAAATCTACTTTAAATATTCAACTAGAAGGGGGTATGGGAACTTATCTCGGATTACCAGAGAAGATCCATGGTTCTAAGACGCAGGTTTTCTCCTTTGTGCGGGACCGCTTGAACCGCCGTATCAGCACATGGTCGATTAAATTTTTATCCAAAGGTGGTAAAGAAGTTTTAATTAAGTCTGTAGCCCAGGCTCTTCCGACATATGTTATGTCGTGTTTCCTCTTACCTAAAGCAATCCGCTCTAAGCTTAGTAGTGCCATCGCAAATTTCTGGTGGAGAACCAGAGAGGATAGTAATGGGCTACACTGGATTTCCTGGGATAAGCTTTGTACCCCACTCTCTGAAGGAGGACTTGGCTTCCGAACTTTGGAAGAATTCAATTTAGCATTGTTAGCTAAACAATTTTGGCGGCTCTTACGTTATCCTAGTTCACTTTTAAGTAGAGTTATGCGTGGAAGGTATTATCGGTTTAGCGATCCCATCCAGATTGAAAAGGCTAATCGCCATTCATATGGTTGGCGAAGTATGTTTGCCGCTAAACCTCTCTTATTATCTGGATTAAGGAGGACTATTGGCTCCGGGATGTTAACCCGCGTTTGGCTAGATCCATGGATACCAACTATTCCCCCTCGGCCGGCTAAGAGCATTCTTGATACTAGGGATCCTCATCTCTATGTTAATGATCTTCTTGATAGAAATAATCAAGTTTGGAATGTGGATCGTATCCGAGATTTGATTGATCCAGTGGACATCCCGCTAATCCTAGGAATTAGACCTAGTCGTACTTACCTAAGCGATGGCTTTAGTTGGGTCCACACCAAGTCTGGAAACTGTACTGTCAAATCTGGATATTGGGCTGCGAGAGCGCTCTCTCGTCCTTCTTGTGACCCCCTTTTCAGGGACCAGGTGTTTCGGCACTTAAGGCACAAGTTTGGAAATTTAAAACCACACGTAAGCTTCAACACTTTATGTGGCAATGTCTTTCTGGATGTATTGCCACCTGCCAACGTCTCTTTTACCGCCATGTTAGCAAAGATAAATTATGTCCCCTCTGTGGTGCCGAAGAGGAATCCATCAATCACCTTCTTTTTGAATGCCCTCCATCTCGGCAAGTTTGGGCACTATCCCCTATTCCTACCTCAGGGAACGTTTTCCCTAGAAGCTCTCTCTTCTATAATTTTGACTTTCTTTTTTGGAGAGGTCAAGATATAGGAATCGATCCCTCTGTATTACATGTTTTTCCTTGGATCTTATGGTTCATTTGGAAGGCTCGTAATCGCTTTATTTTTGAAAATCTCCGGGTATCACCGGAAGAAACTTTACGTCTGGCAATCCAAGAGGAGGCGGTCTGGCGATTAGCTATGGAAAATGCTACGGCGTCTGACCCTGCTATTGCCCCCTCTGTTTCACCCCCACTCTCGAGGTTGGTGGGTTTGGAATGCCAATGTGATGCATCATGGATAATTTCGGGTACACTCAGTGGCCTTGGATGGGTTTTAACGGGATCTAATCTTGTTCATCATTTAGGCCTTAAATGCGTGCGCCAGTGTCTATCTCCCCTTCATGCTGAGTTGGATGCGCTTCTCTGGGCTATGGAGTGCATGGTTAAGATTGGACAAACCTCGGTCTGCTTTGCATCGGATTGTGCAGACATTGTAACCATGATTGATAACCCCGCTGATTGGCCAACTTTCGCTGCGGAATTAGCCTCTTTCAAGTCCTTGCAAGCTTGTTTTCCGGACTTTCGCCTTCGGCATCTGCCTCGCCTCTCCAATATCCGGGCTGATTTCCTTGCTAAAAAGGCCAGAACCCGTGATTGCCTTTTCTCCCATATGAGCACGTCGGCGCCTCCTTGGCTCTCCCTAGCGGAGAGTATCTTTCCGACCGTGTCATAGTTTCTTTGTTTTTTAGTCGACAAAAAAAAAAAAAAACCTGGTTATTTTATATATGTTATTGATGGGCTATTTTTTCAATGCTAAGCCCGTTTATACTCGTAGAGCAACGATAACTAGCTTTTTTTTTTTTTTTTTTTTTGGCTCAACATCAACTTTTCATTATCCAAAGGATTACATCCAAATTCAAGGTACATAACATTCACCTCTATAGAATTGGACCAAATACAATGGGTCGATCTAGTATCCCCTGAAACACTAGCGGATCCAACGGAACATGTGGGTGCTAAGATCCACCGATATAAACGAATTATATGAAATGAGTGAAAGATTTGGGCAAAGCTCTCGGTTTAGATCAAGATATTAGGCTCAACTTGAATAACGAACTGAATTTTATATATTGTGATTACAATGAATACTCTTGTTCTCTCTTTTAGATCTCCCCCTATACAACAACGCTTCAACCCTTTATATACTCGACGTTGTTCCTCCTAAGGCGCCGTCGTCGTTGCCCAGAATCTTCTCTCCTCCGTGATTTCTTCAACAGGCAACGCAAATCCGTTCCTCCTTCTTCTCAACAGCTCGACGTTCAAGCGAGGCCCAGCTACCACATGCCTTCTACCAAGCTTACGGGCCGAATCGTCGGGCCCATGGCCTGCTGAAGCCCGGTACCAACAAGACCTGATCGAGAAACCATTGCATTTTTAAACCACAATGAGATAGATAACACTCCACAACTCATAGTGAAATCATCTGTTAAACCACCTAAAATTACTCTATGATACGAAAACAACTACTAACATAGAGAGGACCAAAATCTATACTAAAGATCTGAGTTAATCCAAGCTATTAGAACCTCTTGATCGGCGTGTAGGACTTGTCCAAATAGCTTCGACACCAAAAAGGCGCATCATCGGTTAGACTTAGATTCTCTAGCTTTCATTATTTCGATCATAAGCCAAAAACGGACAATACATCCGACTGATCCGGCCAAAAGATGCGAAACAAGACACGCATGAACCGATGCTTCTCCGAACTTCCACTCAAAGACCAGAATGCTAATCATTTAAAGATACGAGTTTTGAACACAAATTAGCATAGCTTCACCTCCCGATGCATTCCAAATTGGCCATCATAGTATATGCTTGTTGTCTCACTTCTCGGCCGGACTGAAACCAAGTGAGGTTGAGGAAGCTCACATGAACGCCAGCTTTGAGGATAACCTCAAATCTCGGCCACCGACGCCCACATGATCCACCCCAACACTCGGTAAAAACACGAAAGCTCGCCTCCATCGTTAGGCTCCGATCAGCTAGGTTCTCCGGCAAATGATAGGAGAAGCAGGAGGGCGCGACTCACGAGCCTAGATCCGACGCCCTGAATCTGCAAAGAAGGCCGCTCGGAGCAGCTTCAAACCACCACCCGTCGCTCGGAGAGAGAACAAGCCGAGATCTCACTCCAAATCGTCCGTCGCCGTACCAAAATGACGCAACAGAGGGGCGATTCCTAGCACTAACGGAGAAGCAGAGGACAATATCTTTCACCCTACTGCTACAAAGGAAAATAAAAGAAAGAGAAAACAGAACAGAGCCCTCTCACACCACCGGCGAAGCCTCAAGCGGCGGAGAGATAAACGAATCCAAACGGCGGCGCTGTAGGTCTAGGGTTTTGAGAGGAGGGGAGTGGAGAGGAAACTTTTTATTTATAACTAGATAAATAAACTAGCTCTGTTAACGATACAAATATCCATTTTTTTAAAAATATCGTATTCGTCTCTGTATTATCCGTAATTTTAGAATCTGTATCCATATCCGAATATCCGGATATTACAATGTTGTATTAGGGGTGGGCATTTCGGTTTAAGTTCGGGTTTGGTTTGGTTTGTGTTCGGGTCGGTTTGTGTTCAGTACCGATTCGGTTCGGTTTGGTTTTAGTTTGGTTCGGTTTTATTTTGTTATAAAAATAAATTTAAGTAATCAACAAATTATAAACTCAATAATTCAAGTAAAACAATAAATAAAATTCGTAAAAAATCAACAAATTATAAACTCAATAATTCAAGTAAAACAATAAATAAAATTCGTAAAAAATATTTAAAATCAAATGCCTAGCAATAGTAGAAAATAAAAATGAAATATTGAAAGAATGTTAGATTACATATTTAGTTATTTACAATATTATTAATAATATTATTAATTAGTTAATTAACACATTGGATTTTCGATTCGGTTCGGTTTTACCGAAACACAACCAAATGGTTTGAGTGTAAGATTGGGTCTGGTTTGGGTCGGTTGAAGTTCGGTTGGTTTGGTTTAAATGCCCACCCCTAGTCGTAACACAATCGCACATGAATATTGCAATGTCGTAACACAGTCGTAAAATAAAAAGACTGTATTGCAACTATTCGGTTAATAGTATGACTAGATAACGATTGTTTAGTGACTACACAGTGTAAAAAAGAAAAAAAAAATTTGGTTTGCTTCTCATCCAAAAGCAAACCAAAAGTAAATCTAAGATTACAAAAGCATACCAAATGTAAATTCGATTCAAAAGACAACTTAAAATCTAAAAACCAAAGATTTCTCAAACATAAGTGTTCAAATGTAATGTCAGGATAAGGAAACAGAAAGTTCAAGACATAAAGGTACAAGTTCACTAGAGTGAGATAACAAGTACAGAGGCACGAGGACATTACAAGAAAGAAAAATGTTACCTGAAGAAATATGGCAGTACAGTCCTCGGCAGTGAGCTCTCGAGGTCTAGTACCCGCGTCTGAAAGAGATGAAGTCTCTTCCCTCGAGCTCAGTTAGCTTCTCTTACAAGGTCTTCTCATAAGTTTGACTGATTTTCTCCGCCTTTCAATCGACATATGTACCATCTAGCTTTGTGTGTGTCTTGATGAAAATCTCACCAAGACTCACTAGTCTTCCCATCTACTCTTCCTACAATGATATTGAAAAAACAGTGTTAGTCACTGATTATGACAAAATTTAAAGTTGCATAAGGCGTAAGAAAAAACAAAAAATAGAGAGTTATTACCATTTTATCTTGGATTTGCTGATAGGACTTTGGCCTTGGCACATGGATGTGATATACGAGCAATCTAATATGTCTTACTCCTTTGTTTTGCTTCATCAGTTTCCAAGTTCTTGACCATTTCTTTCCAGAGAGTATTGGTATCTACTAAGTATTGTTCTTTTCTCTCCTAAGGCACCATCGAACTTGTTTGTAAAAACTTTAGTAATCTTTCGAACAAGCTTTGTGAACATATCGATGAATTTTGTATCTTATTGAAGAAATATGTTACATACATACAGTACGTATGCCTCATTTTGTTTATGGTCAAAGTTCTACCATTTCCCATTTGATCATCTTTTACTTCTTGCCAATTTAAGGGGTGGTATTGGTTTATGACTTTAAATGTAATGTAGAATTTATTGTTATCCGATCAACATTTTATTAAATCCTTTTAAAGTTTGGTGTTTTTAGTTATTAATTTGAAAAAATTCATATAAAATCTTCATAAATATGAGGTTATTATTAGATTTATACTTTTATAAAATCATTAAAAGTTTTGTGTTATTCTATTAAAACAAAAGAATCTATGATTGTTGATGACTTAAATTATTATGTTATTGGTTTATGATTTTAATCATTTTTTCTTTTTACAAAATAAAGTCATGAAAAGTATCATCAAAATAGAGAGATTGTTTGAAAGACTTTACAAGACTATACAAATCTAATCAACAAGATTACATAAAACTCTCTAACAATCCTTGAATATTTAAATTATGTACATTCTAAGATTTTATCAAAGTCATCTAAATTCTTTATAATTAGGATCCAATAATACCCCCTAATAGTTAATATATAATATGATATTTAAAAAAAAATGGAAAGAACCAAAAAAGCAGATTACAACATTTCTATAATACTTCAGTCAAACATTTCTATTTCCTTTCTATTTGTTTTGTTAGTCAAACACTTTAGTGCTGATAACTATGTTTCCTTTTCTCTTTTTCACCTCTTGTAGTATTTATATTAGTATTAGGATTTTCAGAAATTAGAACTCATAAAATGTCTACAGGAGTTAGGATGGCTCTTCCTATGATTTTTTTACTTCTTTTGTTCTCAGCATCACTAGTTCATTCAAATCAAAGCATGGTGCCTCTCAAAACCTTCAACGTTAGGTTTATAAAAAAAAAAAAAAAAAACACATTTTGATATATTAATTATTTAAACATCATCAAATTTATAGCATGATATATTTTATGGATTGAGTTTAACTTTGTCTTTATTCTCAAATGTTATATGTTATTAGCAGATAAGTGAAAATGTAACATATGATTGCATTGACATTTATAAGCAGCCAGGACTTGATCACCCCCTTCTGAAAGATCATACAATCCATGTCAGTAAACTTTTCAAAATTGTTCTCATCCGCACATTTTACTATGATATAAGTGATATTAAATTTGAATATATTATTTATTTTTGAAAAGAAAAAACCATCGGTTTCAAGACTGGAATTTAATAATCAAACTAGCAACAATGAAACATATATGAAGAAAATGAGATGTCCAGAGGGAACTGTTCCTATATTGAGAACTTCAAAAGAATACATCAACAACACACAACTTTTCACTGAGAAATATATCCATCCACTATCAGGTGATAGTCCTGGAACACATGTAAGCATTCAATTTTTTTTTTTTTTTACTTCCTTAAATCGAATAAATTCTTACATTTTTATTTCAGATAGTAATATATACGTTATTATAAAATCGGATTTTGGTAGATTGCTGGAGTAAGATCACGTGATGGTACATATCGTGGTGTAGAAGCTTGGTTTAGTTTACATAACCTAAACATTGGAAAAGATCAAGCCTCATATTCTCAAATATATATAGGCAGTGGAATGAATAACCAAGTTAATTTTATTCAAGCGGGTTGGATGGTAGATTTTATATTTAATTAATTGTGTTTTTAATCCATTCATAAACCTTTAGATAGTCTTCAAGTATCATAAGTACTTACTTGTACAGATAAACCCAAGTTTAAATGGCGATACAAATCATTGGTCATACGGATTTTGGAAGGTGGGTATGCACATGTTATATATTAGTTTTGGTTATATATATGTGAAGCCCCTTAAATAAAATAGCATGTACATATAAAATATGGTTTGAATAGGGTAAAGATGGAAAAGGATGTTACAATACGGCATGTCCTGGGTTTGTTCAAATATCACAAGAAGTACCTATAGCACAACCCTTGGACCAACCAGGGGAAGTCTTCATGCATTACTCTATCCATCAAGTATATTCTAATTCTAGATACTTCTTCTGCTATCTCCTTTTTTTTTAATAATGTTTGGATGAATTTATTTTGTTTCATTTTAACATATTATGGAAAAATTCAATTTGTTTGATATTTTGTAAATCTTGATTTTTTTTCATTTTTGTTATTATTTTAATTATGTATGATTAGGTATTCAATGTAGTTTCTTTACATTGAAACAGTGATATATAGAATTTGTAATAATTTATAATTTTTTGAAAGAAAATTTAAGATATGATTGCAATATTTACTTAGCTTGTCATTCCTACTTAGTTGTGGATGATTTCATCTAGAAATTAATAACTTGTGAATGAAGTTAGTAATTCATGTATTTGACTGAACTCTATTTCCAAAAATTACCATTTAAATAACTTTGATTATAGTTAAAATTCCTAATTGAGAAATTTAATTTGTTTTCTCTCTTATTTGAAAAGGATAAACAAACTGGAAACTGGTAGATTACAAAACTGATACCCAAGGCACCTACCATTGATATTGGATATTGGCCAAAAGAGTTATTTGACCTTATGGGTAATGGTGCAAATATGGTTGGAGTTGGAGGTGTAGTTCAGGCTTCTCGTCAAGGTTTAAGCCCTCCGATGGGTAATGGTAACTTTCCTGAAAAAGAAAAAAGGGGGTCATCAGCACAGTTTAAAAACATTGAAGTCGTGAATTCCAACTACGAGCAATGTAGAATTGATACTTTTCCTATAGAGAATTTGTTAGATAGTCCGAAATGTTACGGGTTAAGTATTGGTAAAGTAAAATTACTTGGTTTCTTTTTCAATTATGGTGGTCCAGGAGGAAACTCTTGTGGAGCTTAACATTTACAAGTCTTTTTTTTTTGGTAAATTGACGGGAGTTAGTGCCCTCCCTATGTTTTATTAAAATAAAATAAAATTAGACAATAACGTTTATTGGCCGAGGGGGACCAACCACATCCTCGTGTAAAATCGACGCCACATCCGGCGGAATAACATCAAAAGAATAAAAACCTAAGGGTAAAGAAAACGCATAGTTCGCTAACCCATCTGTAAGACGGTTAGCTTCCCTATACACGTGAGAAATACGGACAATCCAGTCCTTTGATAAAAAGCCATAGCACAAACGCACTAGGAAAGACAACGGATGAGAATCCTCTACCCCTGTCGTTAGAAGACCGACTACCAACTCCGAATCCACATCCAACTCCAGCCGTGTGATACCTTTCTCCCAAGCCATGTAGAGCCCATAGTAAACTCCCCACAATTCTGCTAACGGAGCCGTACAAATCCCAATATTAAAGGAGAAGCCACCACACCAGTTCCCGTCCGCATTCCGTAAGACTCCTCCCGCTGTTGCTAGCCCGGGGTTCCCCCGCGATGCGCCGTCGGTATTCACCTTGAACCAGCCATCAGGTGGTGGTTTCCATGCGATCAGTCTCTCCTCCCGCACAACCTTGCTAGACCGCCCTCGAAGTCTCTTGTGGCCATCCGTTACCTCTTTAGAAATGTCTCTAATAAAACGCACCCGATCACGACATTTACCCGTAACGCCAAAGACATTACCACATCTCCATTTCCACCCCCACCACACTGCCATAGCAAAAGTCGTCGCCCAAGGACAGTGGCTAACCTCCGTAGTAGTGCTTAGGTTAGCATAAACCCACTCCATTAAGGGCTGATCAAAAAACGATCGTTGCTTCCGTGGCGGTACTAGTCTTTTCCAAACCCCGGACATGGTCGGGCAGTCACGGAGGGTATGTAAGATGGACTCTTCCCCGCCCTTACAAACCTGACAAGTACTCGAATCACATAAGTGCCGACGGAACCTTTCTTTGTTAGTCATAATCGCTTGATGACTCACAAGCCATAAGAAAACCCGAACTCTCTCCGGAGCAACCACTTTCCAAACCTTATCAAAAAACTTTCCCATGTTTGGTTTAGGAGCAACGTCCCGCGATAAGAAGGTATAGGCTGACCGCACCGTGAACCGGCCATCCGATCCACCCCCCCAAGCTAGACGATCGTGTGCACCC